TGGTAAATCCCCCCCCTGGGTCAGCTGTCTTATTCAAAGATAAATTAGAAAAAAAAAAAATTCTGATCTGGGTGATTAGGACAATTTCTACATCAAGGGAGAAATCTCCAGATGTGAGAGGCGATGGATAATCTGCCCTCATGCTGTTCCCATCACATGAGAAAAATGTGACGGGCCCAGAGATTAACTCCAGCAGAAAATACAATCTTTAGTTCTATAAAGAGTCACAAGACGAGTTAACGGGCATTAAATGTATCTTATGGAAAACAATACTTGTGTTTAATATATGAGAGAAAAAATAGAAACTCTATCAATCACATCATCACACATTTTATTACAGATTTTAAAAAACAAACTAATCTGTCATCTATAAATATAACCCTTGTATTTTACAAAACATTTCAAATGATAGAAAATCAAATGGTTGTTCATACCCTGTGGTAAAACATTAATGATGGAAGACTTTATAAATTCCCCATCAAATGAAGTAAAAAATCTAACTTAAGAAGGATAACTGATCGTTTCAGTTGGTCTGCATCCGATGAGTTTGGTACGCAAGTTCAAGCCTTATCACCACTCCTGACATGCAGCTCACAAACACATTACTGAACTGAATTTTTTTTATATCTTCAGGCAGCTCAGTTGCAGCAGAAAGAGTGAACCTTTGGGATTTTTTCTTTTGTGTGTGTTCTTTGTTGTTTTGCCAGAAACCTCCACCAGATGGCGCTGAAAGAATCATAAAACACTCCAGGCATACCCTCCAAAATACAGCCTTCCATTCTGTAATCATAGATTGTTATTACATGGATTTCACAATGAATTTGAATTTATTTATTTATTTTTAAGAAGTGTGTAACATAAAGCAAAGTAAGGCTGTGCCTCAAGATTATTTGATTACTCAAAGAAAAATATAAATTATTTTTTCGATTGACCTTAAAGTAGAGACTTTTAATAAATTAACATTTCTAAGTTAACAAATTTTGCACTTTTTAAATAAATTGTAAATGTTTAAACGTAAGAAATGTATATAAAAATACATGTATTTTGTGTGTATATATAGTTATATAATGTAAATATGAACATAATTATGAACGCAGTAAAAACTTAAACTCCAATGAAAAACTCTCTTTCTATATATATATAATGTTTTTTAGTTTAAATTTGTTTTAAGCAGGTTATTCTTTTAGCAAATTGCATCCTTTGTACCATCACTTTAGGAAACAATTTGACTAATTAGTTGACTATTATATTAAAGCTAAATTATTCACAAATAATCAGACTAAAAGTTTTAGTTCTAAATTAAATAACAGTGCAGAAAAACGAAATAAAACACAAAGCTCTTCCCAAAATCAAAGCTTTCAGGATTTAATGTTTTTTTTAAAGTGGGAGATTAGATTAAATTATTGTAAAGTAGTATCAATTAATGTAAACAAAGTTACAAAAACAACATTGAAAATTATATATTTAGAGATCAAGATGGAAAACTGCTTTATAATCCAGGATAGAAGTCTTCATGTATAATACCGAAATATTGAAATGAATAGTAGTTGTTTAAACGAGTCAATAAATCTAATTTTATATTTTAAATTATTGTTTTTATTTTGTAATAAAGTATTGTATATGTCAAATATAAAACATAGAAAGCTATTTTTTTTTTATTTTTATAAAGCACTACTTTTTAGTTTAAGGTGACAAAAATGGTGGAAAACCTGATGCACTGCTTCAGTTTATTTTATTTTTTCCTGATCTAATGTTTTTTTCTTCCTAATTCTTTTTTAACTTTTTTATTCATCCTGTATTCATTTGTGTTTCTAATCTGTTTTTACTTTTCTGTAGGGATTTAAATAAAGTAAAAAAAATGCAAATGAGCCAAGAGGCCATATATTATCATAGACATTTGTTTAGTTGTGTTTATAGTTTTCATTTCTAATAATAATAATAATAGTAATGGTTAAAAAAAATTTTTTTTGTAATAGTTGTTTTTCTATGGTTGTTATGGAGCATTGAGCCACCAGATGGCGGCATTACTCGAACACTTCCTGGTTGGAGCGTAGAAGAAGAGCGGTTGAACTGGGCGGACTGCATCCAGTCAGTAATGATGGGCCGCAGCAGAACCAGCTGTAGTTTAGGGCTAAACGGTTCGGCTGAAGGATGAGTTCGTTCGCGGGGCGGATGCGGGAATATCCCACCGTGTCTCTGGACCGGTTCGACCGGGAGAACCTGCACGCGCAGGCGTATTTCCTCTCGCATTGCCATAAAGGTGATTTAACAGGTTATTGAAGCTTTCCTCGCTCTGCAGTGACAGCTCTGTGACGTCAGGTGTTTTCTTTCCTCAGACCACATGAAGGGACTGAAGGGGCCCCTGCTGAAGAGGAAACTACAGTTCAGGTGAGCGGCTCTGGTCAGGGGCGCAGCCACGAATTTTGGGGCCCCATAAAACACATTGATATCGGGACCCCCCCCTTACCCATATAAAATGCGAGATTTAAAACTGCTATAAAGATGCACTAAAGATTATCATTTATATTGTTAATTGTTTTACATTTTTATTGTAAAATTATCATAATGTGAAAAAGTTAAATTTACCGATTAGGTTTCAGTATAACTTTATTAAAGGAGAGGTTATTTTTATGCTGGCCCTGAGAATAAATGTTTTATTCATGTATATATTTAATAACAAAACATGTATTCTTGGTTTGGCTGCTTCAGGCTGATCATGAGAATGATCAAGATTTATAGATGTCTTTTAATGGTATAAAATGTTATTATATAATATAATATATAATGTAATTATGGTATAATATGATATTTTAATGGTTTAGAAATCTATTCATCTATTCATGCTTTGTTTGACTGTTTACGGCTGAAAACCGAGGGAGAATATCAAGATTGTTTATTTTACTGCTGGATTTTCTTATTAAATTTGAACAATATTTTTCTTTTGGGCCCCCCTTCAGTCAAGGGCTCTTAGAATCTGCCTAACCTGAGACACACTTAATAGTATAAGTGTTCTGATGGCAGATTTTTTATTAAAAACATAATTATTGTGCACAAATAAGGAATAGTTGCATTAACCATATATGTAAACAGAGTTTTATGGGGCCCCCAGGAACTTGAGGCCCTAGGCAGCTGCCTAGTATTACCTAATGGTAAATCCACCTGGGCTTATCAATAGATTAATAAGAATCTGGTATACTGTCATTTATAGTAAAATTTTGAGGGACTTGAAGAGGATGCTTTTGTAGCTGAATAGGAAATATTCATGAAAAGTAAAAAAAAGTAATAATCATTAACTAATTAAGTAATCAATTAATCATTAGCTGGGTGTAGAGACTCCAAAACAACCTTTTAGCTGACAGAGTGACCCACTTAGAGCAGGAATTATACCAAAAAAATAAATATAAACATTTTGGATTTAAGATAAAAAGATCTTTTTTGGTCTGTCAATAACTCCTCAAGTGGAAACCTTTTAGTTTCACCTGGTTTATGTTCATAAAAAAATCTTCTTTAAGGAACTTTTGGCTATCCGAT